TGAATAATAATATAATTACATTCATCTTTGGAACAGTGTTAGCAGTGGCGTATGCTGAGTTCCAAAGGGTTTCCTATCTCATTCCAGCAAATGTTTGAAATATTTATGAGAATGCACGGTGAGGTCGGAGGCCCTTTCCCGGTGATTGTACGAAATTGCTTAATTACATTGTAACGTCACAGTACTCGTTCTGAAAATAAATATGAAATTGCTTAATTCGAACAACTTGATGAAATAAATTCGTTAAATAAATACGTAGAACAATGGTAGGAATTAACCTTCTTTATTTAAGGCTTATTTAATTATAGATAACCTTTTGGATAATTTTTTTTTTTAAGCAGTGAAAAATTGAAAAATATTTATTAAACACAATCATTCTCAGGTATGGTTAGGGATGGGTGATAGGGGAATGGATGAGCCACTTTGTACAGCTCTTAAACCCACCTCTCACCGCAACACCAATCCACTATGCTGAGCCTTAAGGAAGCCTGAAGGATAACGTCATAGAGAGTAAAATTACCTCAAAAAAAATTTTGCACGTGTTGAAAAAAAGCAAAAACGGGAATGCCCCGGAATATGATAGAATTCCCTTTGAATTCCTAAAAAATGCACCTCAAGAATTGATCTGTGTACTGCAAGAAGTATTCAACAAGATATGGGAAAAAGAGTCAATACTAAAACGTTTTAAACAAAGTATAATTCTCCCAGTATTTAAAAAAGGTGATCCGACACAGGCCAAAAATTATAGAGGAATATTAAATATATAGAGAGAATAAAGAATTGGATAAATAAGCACAACCTACTTAAAGAATCGCAAGCAGGCTTCAGAACCGGATATAGCACGATAGACAACATCTTCAACCTGAACAACATTGTAAAATTATGCGACAAAGAAAGGGTGTATTTATTTTTTGTAGATTTTCGGGCTGCTTTTGACAGTATAGAAAGGAGAGCACTGTTTTATAAATTATCTACCTACGGGCTATCTACAAAGATTATTAACATCCCCAAACTTATTACGCCGGATCAGACGCCCGAATCTGGATAAAAGGTCTGACGAGTGACTTTGCCTGCGAAATGGGAGTCAAACAAGGTTGCTTACTCAGTCCGGTCCTGTTTGCAATCTTCCTTAACGACCTGGAGGACGAACTATGCGGAGGGGTAATAATTAACGGACGAAAAATAAGGACACTAATGTATGCAGACGACATGGTGACGTCTACACCTGCATCGTTGCAACTCATGATAAGGGATTTAGAAGACTATTGCGACAAGTGGAACCTTAAATTGAAATCCCAAATTATGGTCTGGCGGCAGGGAGGCGGAAGACTTAAGAAAAACGAAAGATAGTTCTTCAAAAGTGAAAGAGTGGACTGCGTAAACTGCTACGCAACACCTTGGTATTAATTTCACTGTCCTTGAAGATGAAGCATCACTGCAGAGAGAAGGCCAGCAGCGCTAAGTACGCCGTTAATAGTCTGTGGCGCAAAATAATGACCAACAAGAAGATCCCACTAGAGAAAAAGATGGTGATATTCAACAGCACCCTGAGGTCTGTACTATTCTATGGTGCGCAGGTCTGGGGTTACTTATACTTGAAGGGAATAGAAAATGTACAGAAATACTTCATCAAGAAACTGCTCTGCCTGCCAACTAGTACCCCAAACTACATCCTATATATTGAGTGCTCGGTCACAACACTCTACAGTCACACTTTGAGCCTGCATTTGAAATATATAAGAAAAGTACTGAATCACACACCTGACAGACTGACGCAGTTTTTGGCCGACGTAGTAATAAATAAAGGCATATTATGGCACAGGCAGCTGTCAGAGTTAGGTAGGCTGTACGGTGTAGGAGTAAGTAGGGAAGAACTGAAGTCCTCTAATACCACGGACCTGATAAAAAAAAATGGGAGGAGAGCAAAAGGAAAGACCCGCGCGAGAAACAGCTTACATCACAACTAGTACGTAAGACTGGATTTTCACTTAGGGCGAAACTACATGGAGTGCTCTGATATGACAGCCTATGAGGTGTCTCTGGTCTTGAGGGCGAGGGGTGAATTACTTCAGCTGAACTGCCAACCGTGGAGACAGATCCGCGCCATCATTTGCTCCTTATGTAACCTCAACGTCCCTGAGGTCACTCTCCACTTCATAGGCGTGTGCCCCGTTCTGAGAGAGTTCCGCCAAAGGTACTTTGGGAAACTGAACCTGGATGTAGAAGAAGTCATTGCAATCCTCAACGGAAGGGATAACTGGAGGAAGCTTGTTGTGTACCTTGTGTACCGGTACCGAAAATACCTGGTTGACCAATTCAATTTTTAAAATCAAAGTTCATTCTAAAGATACAAACATAGGGATTCATTCAAGTTTCAAAAATTGTTAAGCAACTCGACAGACGGCTAAGGCCATTGTCAATTCAGCTTTTTCTTTTGAAATGTAAAGTTAATGTAAATACTTTGTGTAAATAAAGCCTTTATTCATTCATTCATAACATGTAATTTAAAAAAAATAGGCAAAGATTAGAGGGTATTTTATTATTTTTTAACTACTTTCCAAACCAATTAACGTTAATTCTGTGATGTTAGAGATCGTTCCTACACCTTTTGTAGGACGTCATCTATCCCCCAGCCGGGATAGAATGGACTGTCTTTTATGAAAAAATGGCAGAAGTAAGAATTAAAATTCCCATGTCCACCATTATTTTCCAACAATTTGGTTAAAACCATGTCGCTCTTCTTCGGGGCAAGAATTCAAGGGTTAGTACGTAGGTATTTTACCTTTTCGCTTTTCCTGATTACTATTATACACATATATGTATGTGTGTTATTTACATTACACATTCCATAACTTATATTCTTCATTTGTGCTTCTATCCCATCTACCTTGGCTTGTCGATACACAGTTGAAGCCTGGAATCTGATTCCTTGGTGCGCCTCGAAACCGCTCTACTACCGACTAACTCAGAATGGACAGGCTTCATTTTTCAGCAAAGACAAAGTCAATTGGCGTAGTGAAGACGAGGACGCTGTTCTTGCTTTTAAAAAGTGCCATTCTTTGGCTTTGTTCTAGAATGATTATCCTCTTGCTTTTTAACTTTTGCCCCCAGGCTGCTCCTCCGTACAAGGCTATGAGCAGATCAACCCTCTTATGTGAGAGGGATAGAGAGAGCCCTAGCATTCGGGCTTAGAATCCATTTTGCTTTCGCTAATGTTTTTATCTTAGGAAAGATACATCTTATCATCTCTGTATTTTTATGGGTTTGGGACTTTACCTTTCCCTCAAAAACGTAGGTATTTTACCTTTTCGCTTATCCTGATTATTATTATACACATATATGTATGTGTGCTATTTACTTTACACATTCCATAACTTATATTCTTCATTTGTTGTTCGGGATTTGTCGTTCTCAAAAGAGAGAGTAACTTTACATTCTACCATCTTATAAAATATCTTCCATGAAAATAGCGTCGCGGGAATCGAATTCTTATTTAAATCTATTCATTGGGGTCCTAGTTTATTTAGCTGAGTGGCATCGTAACAGCTCGGTCTTCTGTGGTCTTACAATGTGCGCTGACTGTTGGCAGGCTGATGTCCTGATGTTTGGGTGGCTTACGTAATATAGCCTTATATTTTATCATATTTCTTAATATTTTATTTAGAAGCAGTTGTATTATGCTAGCATTATTCATTTTTTCTGTATTAGAAGTTTCGACCACTTTTTCACGAAACTCTGGGTCAAGGTATTGAAAAAGAAAGCAAATCTAGTTGCTACTACCAAGCTTTCGACCTATTGAAGGTCATCATCAGGATCTATTTTAATTTCACATTATGAAAAGCATATTTGTACAATTGATTTAACAATCAATATGTAGAACTTAGATATTTAAGGTTGTTTTGTGCTTAATATCTTTATGTAAGGTACTGGTTGAAATGAAAAAGTTAGTTTCACGAGCGGGATTCGAACCCACGACCTTCGGCTAACTTTTTCATTTCAACCAATACGTTACATAAAGATTAATTAATTACAAGAAGTTATTTAGTCAATCGGTCCACGAAACACAATGGATTTAATAAGTAAAACGGAAATATATCTTCTCTAAAGCTCTCCGAGGCCATTTCGTTTGTCGACGAGAATCAAATCCTGATTACTCGACATTTGAAAAATGGCAAAAAGGAGGGAAAATTCGAAAGGTTGATGTCCGAGTGGATCGAAGTCACGATCGCTCAAGTGGTAGAGCAGCGGCGTATTTAGCCGAAGGTCGTGGGTTCGAATCCTGCTTGTGACACTAGCTTTTATAAATGTACAATAATATAATACCTTATTATTACCAATAATATAATACTAATACCTTATATAATGATTAATTAATTGAAAGAAGTTATTTGGTCAATCGGACCACGAATATAATGAATTGTTTTGTAAGTTCTATATAGCTATATTGATAGTAAAATCAATTGTACAAATATGTTTTTCACAATGTGAAATTAATATAGGCTCTGATGATGAATTAAAATAGGTCCAAAGATTGGCGGTATCAACTTTTTTTTTTTTTCAAGACCATCGTGAATATCCAGTGTTTAGGAGTTCTGTTGGTAAAACCTCGTAGTTTGGTTGATTTTATTTTGTATCGATAGTTAAGAATTTCTTTCCAGTAACTATAAAGTTTCCAATTTAACTATTAGCGTCATGCGGGCTGAAGTCTAGGGTGTATCGTTATCATTTATCGTTAAAAGCGATTAGTTTCCCTACTAATTTTGTATCTGTGAAGTTTTCATGTATGATTTCCGGTCGTTTATGTCATTCAAGTGTCCAGCTATGAATGGGGTTGATTGTCATTTGCACTTGGTTTCTGGATGCCTTTTTCCGCTGAGAGGACAGCTGATCACCTATATTTATAAATCAAAAAAATAAATACCATCCCATGCTTTTTGATTTTTTGAAGGGTTTCCCAGAAGGCTGTGCGGTCGTAAATTTTAATTATTTGAACTTTCCAGGAGCCTGTGCCCCCAGATCCATGGGAAGGAGAATTGGATGCGACCCACTTCAAAAGACAATGTCCTCAGATAATCTCAGAGCAGGACATGGCCGACATAAAGTCCCGCATGGAATTCGAGGACTTGGAAGATTGTCTTCACCTCAATGTGTACACTGTTCAGGTTGGTGAAAAAAATTTCTAAACAAAATTGTCTTTTCATTCAAGATACAAAAACCGAAATGAGGAACTAGATAAGAAGACAGATTAGTCTATTATAAATTACCACGCAATGAAAATTTGTCTTATCTAAACCTTACGTAATGCACTGTTGACATTAAACATTTCAAACGTTTTAATAGTATGATGTAGTTTAGAGATTAGTTGAAAACTTTATTCCGTATTTCTTTGACTGATAGTTTATCATTGAAAAACTTGAAAATAAAATAAAATGGTTATTCAGATATCGTGAGATGCGGGCGGGTGTGATGTAGGTTTCAGAAAAACATTTTCTTTATCGTGTCAACGTTTCGATCTTTTATTGAGATCATCTTCAGGGCCTGGGATTTACAAACAATGTTTACATTTAACAAATACATTTAGGATGTGGAAAAATGAATTTATACAATGCAAAATATATTTTATATTCAAACAAAGTATATCTACTCACTCAAAGTGTTTGTCTTCTGTGTAATTGTGCCATCCTTGCGTGTCGTGTTGAGAGTGCCAGGGAGATTTTGCTGTTTTATGTTTATATATGTTTGGTTTTGAAGGGGTGGGGAAGGAAGTCGGTATATAAAAGACAATTTTGTGTAAGGCGTCGGCTTCTTTGAAGTGAAAAAAGCCGACAAAGGGGAACAATGTGTTGGTAATAGTTCGGCCAGATTATCCTTTCAGGATTATATAGAAAGGGGATAAATAGGAAAAGGAAAGCTAAATTGTTGGAAAATTTGACTATGTGAAAAGTATTTGATGTGTGGAATGTAATGTAATGATATATGTATGTTATCTATATTGTATTTGATTAATGATATGGCGTAGCTGCGACTGTGTTTGCATGTATCTGTTCAGTAATTGATGCTGTGTTTATCTCTGTTGATATAAACCATTTCTAAGAAATTACGTTTATATTTGTTTTGTTCTGTATGTAATATTTTTGGATTTTTGAAGTCAAAATTGTGTTGGTGTTCAAAGTGGTGGGTAGCGAGTGCTGTAGGATTTTGCTTGGGTTTTTTGCAATCATAGATATGTTGCTTTACTCTCTTGTCCAGATATTGGGATGAAAGACCGATGTAAGTTAAACAGTTGATCTTGTAGATGACGTCAGATTTATTTGTTATTGGTATGGGATCTTTAACTTTGGAAAAAAGTGTTTGGATTGTTTTATAATTTTTGAAAGCTATTTTGAAGTTATCGGACGAGAGAAATGTGTTTAATGACGGAACAGAATACAAACACTTTGAGTGAGTAGAAATACTTTGTTTGAATATAAAGTATATTTTGCATTGTATAAATTCATTTTTCCACATCCTAAATGTATTTGTTAAATGTAAACATTGTTTGTAAATCCCAGGCCCTGAAGATGATCGCAATAAAGATTGAAACGTTGGCATGATAAAGAAAATGTTTTTCTGAAACCTACATCACACCCGACCGCATCTCACGATATCTGAATAACTATCGATTAACGGTCACTAATCTCTACACATAAAATAAAATTTGCATCTTTTTTAAATCTTAAATAGTTGCTAAACCAAAATGAATTCAGATTCCAGGGAAATGTACGAAAAAGATGCCGGTGATGTTTTATATCCACGGAGGTTCTTTCAGACAAGGATCGGCGAAGGATTTCAGGCCGAACTATCTCTTGGAGGAAGACGTCGTCCTTGTTGTCATCCAGTATAGACTTGGCCCTTTAGGTAAATTTCAAACTTTAATAATAATACTATCCACTGCTCATGTAACTAGGATTCTGCCAGAATACGATTCTCCCCTGGAAATTGAATTACGGTTTCATTGATAGGCATCATTTCTATTCTTAATTTAACTAGTCAGCTAAATTATATTGAACTGGGTGAGATAATCTAAATCTCCTATCTAAATCACGAGCACAGTATCCGCTCTTTGCTGCGGATACATTATTCAGCACCTTTCCATCGACCTAAGCTTATCCAAAATTGTGAGATTTCCTCCTGTGTACAAAACGTCCAAACTAACAAATCTATTCAACAAAGACAACTCAACAACAAATTCAACAAACAACATTTTAAGAATTACAACAGCATTGAAGAGCATGACCATAACAAAACATAGACAAAACCAACTTGACGAAAATGCCATACACCGTAGCGTTTGAATTTGGAGACAAAGTTAGATGGAGCACGTTAGTTTGCTGTAGTTGCTCAAGGGCTACCTTTCACAAACGTTTTAATGCTTAAATTGTATCTAACATACAGTACATACATTCTGTAATGAATTCATAGGACTGGTTTTCTTCTTATATTCCGATTAAAGCGATTGTGCAACAAGACAGCTCTTTGGTTTTTCCTATTCACAATATACAGCCGACCTTCCAGTTCTCCATAAGAATATTATGTACGCTTTTGCTGACGACATAGTTAACTTGTCATCTAACCTTGATCCTTCCCTAGCAGGTCATAACATTTAATTCCATTTAAAACTTATCTAGTCTTAGCCTCGCAAAGAATAAAAATGAATGATACTAAATCCACCTAGATCTTCTTTACTCTCTGAAAATCCATTGTTCATTTCAATGCCGTCACACAAACCCCACTACTGAAGATGTCGAGAAGCTTATTCCTACAAGTAACGAGTAAATTGAACTTGAGCGTCACTGAAATGCCTTTTGCGTCTTTAGGTCTTTGAGGTGATAACCTCGTAATTTGGTCACTTCCGATCATTTTGACTAGCTTATCGTCGCTGATTTATACTTTCAGTCACATTCAGTTATAAAATTGCAAATCATTCAGGCCTTGTTCCTGACCACCAGTTCGGCTTCCGCCACTACCACTCCATACCAAGTCCATAGCTTTGTAAATACCATCGCTTTTTCTCTTGAGTTATAGTACCGTCCAGCTGTTTTCTTGGACATTTCTCAAGAATTTTACCAGGTATGTACACCTGGTACATACACCACATATCCTCAAATCTTACTTAGCGGATTGTCGCTTTCATGTTACCCAAGGTCATTCTACGTCTGCTATTTTTAGGGTGGTCCTCTCAGGTGAATACAGGCACCATTCCTCTAAACAATCTACACTATTAACCTTCCGTTTACCGCAATAATTTCTATTCGCCGATGACCCGGCTATCCTCTATCCTCAGAAATCATGAAGAATCAAGGTTGGCGAATACAAAATACAGCACAAGCAAAAAGTCGATTACCATTACGTCCATCGCACAGAAAGAACTGATATTTCCCTTGTATCCTCTTTAGGTCTTTAGGGAGGTAAATATATAGTTTGGCCTTTTCCGATTATCCTCACAGTCACCACTGAAGATGGCTAAAAGCAGAAACACTTCTGAAGACCAGTCCAGCCAGAAAAGGCAGACCAACATGATGGATAAAGTTCAAATTATATCATCCAAGCTTTCTACGGCTGTACCAAAAACTATTCGCACTGAGTTTGTTCAAACCCATGGGGATTACAAATGATGTGTTCTTTCCGACTAAAATTCCACCTCTTAACCTCAAACGAAACATGCAAAAATTATATTTTTTCTATACACTTATAATTATAAATATGTAATATTATTTTAGCCAATGTACGAAATAAATGACCATCGGTTTAGGTCAATCAATCATAACCACCCCAAATTTATCTTTCCCGCAGGACGACCTAAACAAGCATTGTATATTTTGTAGAGTGAATTCTGCTTAAATTGAGATAAGGAATTTTAATTTAATTATATATTAATAAATCCTCCATTCCGCAAACAAGTAAAATACCTAGTAAAATGCCTGTAAAATAGGCAATTATGCAGCCTTAAAGGGGTAATTTGCATCCTCTGCACGACCCTCGGACACTGTTTTAAATAAATCTATTCTATTTTAATTATAGTAGCATGAAAACAAAACAAGAATTATTCGACTCATCTTACATACGTAGCACAATTAAACAAAAACATCAAGCAAGAGCTCAACAGACGCGGAACCCATCTGAACAGTGAATATATCTTTTAATTTTTAAATCCTATATGACAGAGAGTCTGCCCCATTTCTCAAGGGACTGCCTTTTCTTCATACATTCCCATCAAAGTGGCTGTCCGCCAGGAAAGCATCCTACAGCCTTTCCTATTCACAATTTACACAGCTGACATTCCTGATCGCCGCAACAATATTATATGCCCTTTTGACGGCATAGATATCCTCTCATCTAATCCTGATCTTAATCCTGATTGCTCTAACTCTATTTAAAACATAACCAATTGTGGCCTCGCAAATGGAGAATAAAATTAACGAAACTAAATACACCTAAATCACCTTTTACTTTCCAAAAATCCACTTGTCTGACCGTCTAATTTCAACATCGTCATACACCAACCACTGAAGTGAAGTCCATAGCTTTGTAAATACCATCGCTACCACCCTTGAGTTGAAGTATTAATCTCCGGCTATTGTTTATAAGGGAACATCTCTAAAGCATTAGACCGGGTATGTTCATTTATTCATAAATATATCGTAATTAATATAACAATATAATACTAAGTTTTACTGAACAGTTTTGTTTTTGTGATTTTATCTTAACAGAAAGTGCAACAAAAAATAATCAGAGATGAGAAGAACGTCTTAAAGATATAAACCAAAATGTCATATCTATGATGGTTAAATTAGATTGCCCCCTCATCTGTACAGTATCTTTTTCAATCGTCACATTTACAAATATTTTCATATTCAACCGCTGTAAATAATTACAAAAACAATAGCCGTTAGCCTGGGTGATATTGCATCGGAACCATTATGTAAACTAGATATGACCTAAGATTTTGCCTCTATTCCGCCACGGCACGCAAAAAAAGTGATAACAATTATTTTATTATTTATTCGATATAAAAAAAGAACAAATAAAAGCCAATCAGTAGATTGTAGAAATCGGTCGTCGGTATAAAAAAACAATTCAACAGTTTAATTCTGTACTGAAAGCGATACGGAATCTGTATATTCAAACATTGCGATTCGTTTATTTATCTTGACTATAAATATGCCGTTCTGGCATTTCCGGCATATTTAACAACGACTAACAGAAGATAAGCAAATTACACAAAAATAAAAATTATTAGTCAATGATATGCTCACTCTTAAAGAAAAGAAGTTTGTTATGTTTGGCATCCTAGTGGAAGACTCAAGTTGAATAGACTGTCTGGGGTCTGGTTTTTGTCTCTGATATATTTCATCTCCGTCTCCTCTTTACTATGAAAGAAAAATACGATCCAGATAATTTACTCTAAACCGTCTCTCATGAAAACAACTGAACATTAACCATTGAAATCTTTTGGATCCATGAACAAGATATTGCCACATTGTTGTCAAAGATTAAACGAAGTCGAGCATCACTGGTCCCAAGAGTTTTGATGTAGGTGCGAACAAATCGGAAACTTTAATAAATATATCGTTAAGTTTAGTCTGTCAACCTTTTTTAATTTGAAGTTATTTTCTTATAAATTCTGCCTGACTGTGTTGTCTGTCAGAGGTATGTCAGCATTTCGGATTCTTCGGTGCATCTTTTCATTCCAAATTATAGATTCATCAACCCACAGATCTTATAAGGAAATCTCACAAAAGTAAATAAAATCTATTTCAGGCTTTCTCTCATTACAAAATGATGATATCTCTGGCAATATGGGACTTTTGGATCAGCTCCTCGCACTTGAATGGGTCAACAAGCACATTTCCAGCTTCTGCGGTGACCCGGACCAAGTGACAATATTCGGACAAAGTTCTGGCGCTGCTGCCGTTTCACTTATGATCGTGAGCCCTCTCGCCAACGAAAGTATGCAGACGTATTTTCAGTTGCATTCTAAGATATTAAAATCATCTCTCTTATTTCAGAGTTGTTCAACAAAGCGATCATTCAAAGCGGGTCCAGCTTTTGTCAGTGGGCTGTCGACTATAATCCTGTCGAGAACGCGAAGAACATTTCACGTTTGGCAAACTGCAGCACCGAAGTTGATTCAGAGTTGTACGCGTGTTTAAAAAATCTGAACGTCTATGAAATCCTCATAGCCCATTCAAACTTCTTGGTAAGTCGGAATCTCCAGCAAAAATAAATGCATATCATTTTACATTTATCATTTAGAGTAACGTATTGGACAAATACGAAGAAGTCATCACCGTCTCTGGAGGAAACCACGCTGTGATACAGACCGCGGGGAAAAAGCGATTCCTCACAGAAGACCCCAGAAAAAGCTACGCTTTGAAGAAATACATGAAAATCCCGACGATGATTGGTGTGACAAAAGATGAAGGTTCCTTCATTGTGGGGAGTAAGTTGCGAAACCAAGTTGCATTTCTCTTAAGATTTGTCTTTAAAAAGCCACCCCTTTGCTGCTAACTCATGCAGAATAATCTTAGTACTTTTGTTTAAGATGTGTACGACTTTCTACTTGATGGAAACATCACTGGAAAAGAAGAAATGTTGCGAGACATGCTTGTTGAAAGCGCTGTTAAATTCAGTGGTAAGAAACCGTATTATTTTATAAATTCAACATTTTCTATCTAAAGATGTACTAATTTGAATACTTGAATATATTGACTTTATGTATTTAACTACAACTATTTAATTAATATGATAAATATTTTCCGAAATAAAAATGAAAAGGTGGAGTTGATATTTTTATATATGGATTGAGATGAAGTTTGGCATGAATTGAAATTGAACTTGAGCTTCAACTGAGGTTGAGATCTTGAGTTCTTTGAGGTTATAACCATGCAATTTGATTGTTTCCTATCATTTTGTTCAGCCTATCCTCGTTGATTCAGTGTTTCGCCATCACAACCATTATTAAACTAGAAGCCATTTAATGCCCTAAGCCTTATCCCAGATACCGGTTTGGCTCCCGTCACTACCACTCCATCACGCACCAATTCCATAGCGTTGTAGACAACATCACTACCACCCTTGAGTTAAATCAGTACTGTCCGGGTGTCTTCCTAAACACTTCTCAATCAAACCTCCCACTTACCTCTACTATGGAAATATTTCAAACACTCTCATATCTAACCCCACAAACTTCTCAATCATGTCTCCTATAGACCTATTGCCCTTCTCCCAGGAATGTCCAATTCTTCAATTATTTCTTCAAAAACGCCTAATACCTATCCGAGATTTACATACAACCATTCCTTTGCAACTTGGTTTCCGTTCTTGCCATTCCTCGATTCAACAATGGTTTATGGTTGGGTTGTTGAGACTCTGGTTGGGTTGAAACTTCTCTGACTTAGAAAACAGAATGTGCTCAAGTGTGTTCTTACACAAACCCCAAGCTTTTGACTCGGTCTGGCACTCAAGACATCCTTTATAAACTTAAACTCTTTCTACCCACTTTATTAACTTATCCTAGACTCCTATTATCCTATTAACTGACCTCTGCTTCAAAGTAAGGTATGGCAATGAGCTCTCTACGGCAAGATTGATCCAAGCCGTCCAACAAGGGAGCATTCTTAGTCCCAACCTCTATACTATTTAGACTACTGGTCTGCATTACATCTCAACACCATACCTACAACCTACAGATGATACTCCAATTTTATCCACCTAACCTCCAACCTACACAAGCCACCTTTAATATCCAAGGGCACCTTGAGCTCATGAGTAAAATCACTCAAATTACATTAAATTTAAAGTTATGTTACATTTATATGTTTATAACAAGGAACGACACATGTTAAATACTTAGACAGTAAACTGACAAAGAATCCGTATGACATAAGCAACAAGAACTAAACAGATGAAGAAGACAACTGCAAAGATGTCTAGGCCTGAAAGCAATTTTATTTAGGTTTGTGGTATTACATGTCTACAATAATAGTGATAATGATGTATACATTGAGAGGTCTCAATAAAAGCAAATTGTTTCTGTTATATTACCTTTTCCTCCATTTCACCTAAAACACTATTACATAATTATTTTATACATTAAAACTTTAAAAAATGATATTTGTAGGTATTAAAGATCCTTCAGGGCTGATAACTGATATTTTCACAAAACAGTTTTTCAAGGAAGAAGACTTGGGTAATTTCATGGCGATGGTGCCAGGTCTAGTAGATGTACGTGCTTGATACGAATAAATGCAACTCTGTGCATATCAGGAAATCTTAAAAAGCCTTTTTCAGCTCTGCGGAAGCGCCCTTTTGAAATCTTGTGTTTTGAAACAAGCAAGACAAAATTTTAAGGATGGAAATACATACCTCTACACATTCAATTATCGAGGACATTTGACAAAATTTGGCTACGGGGTCGAGGTCAATTTTCCATTTTCAGGAGGTATTGCTTTTTTATAACTGATCCGTACTTGAAAATGTTTGTATAATGTCATTTTTTCAGGAGTGGCCCACTCAGATGATCTCATATATCTGTTTCCTCACAAAGATGGCAACTTGACACAAAGTGAGATGCAAATCGCTAAAACTGTCGTTGAGCTGTGGACGAATTTCGCCAAAAATGGGTATACAGCATAGATTACAATTGTCTGATAATGGATAATTTATTATAATTATTTTTAGAAAACCTGTCCCAGCGACGAATGTAAATAATTGGCCACCAATGGTTAATCAAGACGGTCCCTACCTCATAATCGACAAAGTACCCCATATTGGGACATCATTTGTAGATCAGTATACAGTAACAATAAGAGAAGGCCTTGATACTGATGCTGCAGCAATAAAACACACTTCCTTAGCCATTTTATTTGCAATTGTTATAATACAAGCAATTGAATTATTTTAAGTCAAATAATTTATAATCAAATTGTGATACAAAGAAATATATAGATGCATTCGTACATTGGTAATACTAAATTATCTAATAATGTTGGGTTGTAAATATATATTTATAGTACTGTTATTACCTTAAATGTGTATATATATATATATTTATTAATTAACCATAGAAAATTCAAGAAATTATAAAAGTATCTTTGTATCCCTTACTTTTTCTTCTTCAGGTTTCAATAATTAAAGCAACATTTTTCTACACATTAGCAAAAGTCATTAAATTTATTATAAACTGTCTATTTGAAAAATATAATGGAACTGAAATGAGACACAGCATAGAAATTACTGCAGCTTCCATCAAGTGAAACAGGATAAAAATAACCAAAAGATATGAAACAGAAATAACATTACTGAAATAAAATACTATGGAAATGCTGGTGTTATTACAAACTAAAGGCATACACATAACTATCTAAAATAAACTCAAAACATAGGAGGGTTCGAATTAATAGAAAACAAGTGTAAATATATTAAACAAAATTTTTTGTTTGTATTTTATTTCTTGTTTTGAAGCCAACTCAAGGGGGATAAATCTATAGGCTTAGGAATGGATTAGAATGCAAATCCATGATTCGAGTGCAAACTGTGAAGTACAAGTTTTACCTACAATTTTATTGAAATTAATTACTTTGTTTACACTCTGATATATTTGAACATCAATCAGATATCAAAAACAGCCCAAAACAAATGAAAACTCAATGTTCTCACCAATATTACATTTTGCCTTCATACATTTTTTTCTTTACAGTACAATATCAAACAGTGAATGTCAATAAGTTAAGGAGCAAATTGTTAAATATAAAAGCAACTCGTGCTTAACCAGCAGTTTCTGTTCAAATTCAAGAATTAAGCTCATAAACCTCTAAATAAGTGAGAAAACACAAAAAATTTAAAGAAAAAAAAACTTTTGCGAATTTGTTCCTGTAGATCAATCCTCCTGAGCCAATTGGCTCAAAAATTTTGCTTGTAAACCTCAAAATAAGCGAGAAAAATGCAGACAAAAAAAATTGTTTTATGTATTTGTACTTGTTTCGTATATAACCAATCTTACCAAGTCAATTGGCACGAAAATTTAGGTCACAAATCTCAAAATAAATGAGAAAAACACAGACAAAAAATGTTCTTTTTACATATTTGTACTTCTTTCCTGAAAACTTAATCCTTCTGAGCTAATTAGAATTAAGCTCATAAACTTCCAAAAAAGCAAGAAAACAAGAATTTAAAAAAAAATCTTTAAATATTTTTACTTGTTTCCTATAGATTTAACCTTCCCAGGTCAATTGGTGCAAAAATTAAGCTCATAAACCTCAAAATAAGCTAGAAATACTGTTTAAAATATACTACTTCCAAGTCATGAAATTTAGCCAAGATTGGTTTAAATTAATATCATTATGAAGTGTAAAAAAATCATTTCCAAAAACGCAAAATTCAACCCCCAGGGGTGTTTTTCCATTTAAAAACCTCATTAGGCATACATGAAAAATAAAATTTCGTAAAGTAGTTGTATTATTAATTTTAATTTATTTAACATCATTTAATTTGCAGACGTTAAATAAACCTCAAAAGATATAATTGATTAAAGTTTTTAAATTTTAATTTATTTAACATCATTTGACTGCGATCGCTAAATAAATTTCTACTCTCTTTCACCAAAATGTGTTTCTTATCAAACTCAACAGATTGGCAAAAGAAGCACCATGTAACGCAGAAAAATTAGAAATTTGTAAAAACATAAAGAAAAAAAATGATCCAATGGCACATTGTATTCCTGGAGGAAACCATCCAGGTACTAACAGAACGTGATGCAATTTGGCAAGTACCTGCATGTTCAGCATAGTTGGTGTTGGTCATAGTCCGTTGGTGATTGGTATAAACTCTTCTGCTGACCTATTACAGCAAAAAGAAACGGTGCAAAACTACTGCTTCATATTGTAAAAATTTATTACTCATAACATAAACACATTTTATTTTTCCATAACTACAATTACTAATTCAATTAATATACAAAACTGTTATTTTTCTTTAAATAGTAAGGAATAATTTACAATAAAATTGATTTTTTTAAGGTAATAAGGTAGGATAATTGTTGTTCTTAGATAACTTACCATTACAATTGATTGACTCAAATTTTTAATTCACATAGCACGATATCTTCTATTAAACATGCAAGTTCGTAATATAGTATTAACTTTTATTTCTTCGCGAGCACAAAATTCCAAGCATCTGTAAATAGAAAAAAAATCACCATATTCCAATTGTTTCTTTATAATTATAAAAGACATAATTATTGATATTGGTTATTAGTATTTAGCCATGAAGTTTTCCCCTCCTAAATCTGATATATTCTAAAATTCTATCTGTCAGATAGGTACTTTCACATACAAATTGGAACATCTTGCTCTCCATTCCCTACACTGAAAAGGGGCAGTGTACTGTAGAGCCCATGTGGTTACTTTGAGGGCTGAGCTGCCAGGCAACAAGCCAAAATGTATCACACTCCTCGGCTCTAAACTCCTTGTATTCCGGCCCCGGGAGTGCCCGCGCCTGATTGCTGAACAACAACTGCTTGATGCCCAGTTGCCACATCCGCAGTTGCGCCAGTGCACCGGCCCACAAGGCAGCATCCTTGGTCCCATTGTCATATACAATTATCCAACAAGTAATTATTCCTACCAATTACAATTAATTAAGGTTTTTAGTTGAGATAAAAAAGTCAATGGCATGAGCGGGATTCGAATCCACGATCTTCGGCTAGATACGCCGCTGCTCGACTTCCCATCTCAACCCCACCATCTCAACTAAAAACCTTAATTAATTGTAATGATTTAATTGGTCAAGCAGACCACGAAATTAGTGAATTTAAAGTACTCCTATTGTACAACCAATATGGAAATACAGAATCAAATTGCTTCAAAACACAAAAATGGTAAAATCAAATTATCGAATAACACTGGGAACTTAATTTACAAGCCAATTCATAACTAGGACTTTAAAAAAAGGTAAGTTTTCATAAAGCAAACAAGACAAACCACCTGAACACAAAATGTGTTATTAAAGAAGGGAAAGGATTTGGAAGAAAAAGTCTTTGTTTGATTGTTTTTGATTTTTATTTTTTTAAATTTTTTTTCGTTCATCTTTTACTTTTTCCTGAAGTAGACAAAGGTAAAATATTTAATCCACACAGTACAACTTAACAATATTATAATAATCCATTATGACTCATTATTATTATAATAGTAGCTATTTACACAAATATAATTGAAGTATTATTTACACCCATGAACACAGATAAAGGTCACTAATTCCTCTAGATGAGAAATTTTCCATTTCGTTTATCCACTTTTTGTTCTGCAGCCATTTATAAATTACGCCTATGAATTTATTGACTTAATTTTCTGATAGTTCAATTACCTGTCAGTTCAAAATTAAAATACAATGCATTTAAAAATAAACAGTTTGATAGGCTAAATTTCAAATTAATAATTCTGATGAATAAATTAGAAAAATTAATGGTCTGTTCGTAGCCTACTTAAAAATATAAATTTCACTAATTACCAGTACAATTAATGGCAAACTTAAAATTTCACTAAATCGATTAATTATTGAGATGACAGAAAATTAAAATTCTTAATAGCATATGTGGAAAGAAATTTTTTAAAGGCCAAATAATACATATATATATATTCCCGAAACAAGGCTAATAAAATTCACATTTCAACTAATAATTAACTAAATGCTTATTTTATTTCAGTACCTCCCGACAAAGTTCAACTTCCATTTAACAAATATTGTAAAAACTTGCCTTTGTTAATTTAACAGTTCATCCTATTTAATAACAGCTATAACTGTATGTCATAAAAGCAATTCTTAAGCATTCGATTGACTGTTTTCTCATCTGCTTTTTTTTATACATATATATTCCTCTTGTTGAACAAGTAATCGCAAATGCTATGTGTGTAGCAACTGTCGCTTTGATATTCTGTACCTCAAAAGAATACTTACAATACTGATTGTAAATGCAATTTTTATAAAGTATTATTATTATTTTTATAAAAGTGTGGAACCATAATGAAAGCATTTTTAATTTTAATTTTTAAAACAGATAGCATTGGAACATTATTTCCGAAAGAGCAATATAACAAATTTTAATTTGTGTATATTTCTGGGACTTCAAATTTTGATTGACTCTTTTTGCAAATTGGCAACTTAAAAAGTAACAATGTAGGGGACTGAATTATATTGGTATTGTAAACTGAACCTTGTTTTTAAACAATTTTCAATTCTTTCTTAAAAAATAATTAGGAACAAAATGCTTTTAAAACCTCCACCAAAGGAACTACAAAACACAGTTGATCCCGCAATTCGACTGGCAAAACATAAAATTATATAAATAAATAAATAAAAGACTGAAATCAACCTTTTTTAAAAAATCACTTTCCACAAATCCTCTGAATGTAAGAAAATTGACAAAATAACATTATCAAAAATGTAATAAATATTAAAGTAATATATATAATCGATTAAAACAATATCTCAAAAACAAAAAATCTAATAATCAACGATTTAAGTACTACACGTATTTGGAAAATGATTGTTTACAATTCAGTTCAGTAATGAAACTAAGGTTTCATCATGTCTTTCTTTTTATAATATTTAGTATATATACAATCACGAAGGCTGAAGCCTTTGCGTTTGATATGACGATTAATATATAATAACTTTTATTTAAGATATTTAATAACTTGTTTCTTTATTGGGATATTTAGAACTTACAGCAATATTTGAAGCCTATTTTAAAGCGACCCAGCGCTTTATAATATATATTTTAACTTTTTTGTTAATAATTGTCTATGTTTTACACTGTATTAAAAAAACCACAACACGGAAAGTTTACAAACGCACTTTTTTTTCTTTTTTAAATTAAATTTTCTAGGCCTCAGAGGTATAAAAATGGTATAATAAATTCACTTTTTTCCTGTTATTTTCATGTTTTCACTAGACATCGCATTGACAAATTGATTAAATCAAAAAACAAATTGCGAACTGCACAAACATGAACATGAGAGATCAATGTTAATACACCATTTTGAATCAAGAATGAAGAAAACTTGTAATTAAAAAAAATTAAAATTAAAATAAAAAACTTATTTAAAAACCACCGTTTTCCTTTTTGATATGAAAATGTAAAATAATAAATGCCTAAGTGATTTAGTAGTGAATATAGCAAAAAAATAATAATAAATAACCGAAAACAAAGCTAGGCGTCACAGATTATTAGTTGGCATACATTAACTACATTTCTGCAATCAACTAAGTTTTATTTTCTAAGATATATCACACAACCGATATTTTATTTTATTTTTTAAAATTAATTTTAGTGAGTATTACTTTTGGTAGTTTTAACGAGATACCATGCCCACATCTGCCAATTTCTCTCGAACAACAATAAATATCAACAGTTACGGTAAACGATACCAATGACAAGGAGCGAATAAGTCTATAACTGGTAAACAAAAACAAATATTAAATAAATTGAGAAAATATCCTTAACATTATAAGCCAAAAAGAAACTAGAATAGTTGACAAGTGCTCTGTCTCACTTTTTTTTACTTTTTATATTGTTTATATATGTTATGCATATATTTATATATTTATATCATCTATGTTTATAAAATTAGACTATGTACATATGTTACACGTTGGGTTCGGATGGTAGTGTCACTTGTCAGCCGTCCCTGGTACATCACCAGGCTGCTTTTGGAAATTTGTAGTGAAGTCTATCCTATATTGACCTGAAATTCATATAGACGAATTGATTTTGATTTAGATTTTTTTTTTTTACATTTCATGCATAAGATCAATCAAAATCAGTTAGTAGGTTTCCAGGTGTATTTCATACATACTGGTTACTTCTTGATGCTTAAAACAACAGTTGAAACACATTTTTTGTAAAAAAAACATTATTCATCTTTTTAGACATATTATTAAAAAATATAATACAGATTATTCAACAACCATTTACAGAGATTATAACTAATGATTAGAAAGTAAAACTATTTTTTTATTCTTCGCACTCCATGAATCTGCGGAGAAATAAAATAAACGATATCAAAATGTTTACCTTGTTTAGTAACTTCTTCTATCGTAGGATCAGGGCAGTCCATAGCTACATGACTTTGACTTCCGCAGTTATAGCAGGAAGGTGGCTTGAGTACTTGAGACGGTGGAGGAGGGGGCTGTTGTGGCGGAGGTGCAACAGGGGAGAAAGAAGGAGGTGGTGGAGGAGGGGGTAGAAAAGTGCCTGCTGCGTTGGCACCAGGAGGAGGGGGCCCAGAAGGGTATTGGTATACCAGGTCACCGTTGTGATATGCTGTTGGGTACGCATGGCGCACGTAAGCAGCTGGGTGATGGTATGCAGTAGGATAAGCAGGCCTGAGGTAAGGACTCATGTAACTGAAGTAGCCTCCAGGAGCAGCTCCGGTAGGTTCACCAGAGCCTCCATTGCCGCCACTCGAGTTTACTACTGAACTACCGGAACCATTGCCACCCTGCTGTTGGTACATTTTCCTTTCATCCACTCCTCCATTTACCATATTAGAACTTACATCCCTCCTCCTGAACAGAGCAAATTCAAGTCTATGAAAATCATAATAAAAGATTTTAACTGACTGGGAAGCACATTAAAAATAATTACAACTTTTCGACCATGCACTGAAAGAACAAATTACCAAAACCCTAATTCTAACTTGGGATGTCTTAAATTTTAAAATGAACTAAAGTAAAGCACCTGTTAACAGCAGAATATCATTTGTGGGTTTTTAAGGTGCAGACATGTAGAATATACCTTGTAATTGAAATTATTACCATGATGTCTATTCATGACATATTGATATAATATAGGGGTAAAAATGCTGGTACATTTTCCAGTTGGTATTCTGAGTATGCTTATCTATTGATACTGCAATTATGAATGATCCATAGAAAACTGACTTTGTCTGATAATGGTATTTTCCAACGTCAATAATCGACTACATAGTTGGCACCAATAAATCGTATTACTATGACTAATTTTTCACCTTAACATCTAAGTAAAAATTAGTATATGTAAGCATGTAAGGCTGCTGAAATTTTCCCCCTCCCATAGAGGAGATAACGTCTGATGAGAGCTAAACCACGATTTCCAGGTAGTGTAGTGAGGTTACCTTTACTACCTCGTAGTTCTGTAATGGGGTTAAGTTTACAAATGCAAGATATAATACGAAGGTTATCGTTAGAACCTCAAGGAACTGTAGTAAGGTTACTAAGATACAAAAGTGAGATTATCTTTACGACTTCAAGGCAGTGGGTTATCCTTACTATCTCAAGAAATTGTAGTGAGATTATTCTTACATCTCCAAGGTACTGTAATAAGGTTATCATTACAACCTCAAGGTACTATAGTGAGGTTAGCTTACAACCTCACGATATTGTAGTAAGCTTTCTTTTTAACCTCAAGGTAATTTAGTGAGGTTAACTTTATGACATCAAGATACTGTAGTGAGATTTTCCAACCACAAGGTAATGTAATGAGGTTATCTTTACTATCTCAAGAAACTGTAGTGAGATTATCTTTACTACCTCAAGGTACTGTAGTGACGTTATCTTTACCTCAAAGTTCTGTAGTGAGGTTAACTTTACTTCCTGAAGATACTGTAGTGAACTTTCTTTTTAACCTCAAGGTAATGTACTGAGGTTAACCATGCAGTGAGGTGTGATTCGAGTGGGTTTCTATTTTTTCAGTCAAATAGCTGCTCCCACCAATCAATCCCATTTTTTGACAGTTTAGTACTCGTTCATTGTAAAAAGGCAAAAAGAGTGTGCAAATGGCGCTTGGTTGTATTTGTAAGTTTTTAAATGCAAAAGATATAAAAACTAGTTGTTATAAACTACTTCAGTTTGAAAACCCCAAATTTGCCTTGTGTTACGCCAAATTAAGCAATCTCTGTACACACAATTTTTTCTCTTTGTATCTGTACACACAAATTACTATTTTACTTCTCGTATTCTACTCTTTCTTGACTACTACATACTCTTCTAAATACATATCTTTATTTTTTGTGATTTGAACAACTGCTTGGTTTAAAAAAAATTAATTTAATTTTTTAATAACTTGCTCAATACTTCTTGTCTATCTACCAATTTCTAACATGTAGAAATGTCCACATCAAAACCGATTTACCAAGCTAACCAACACAATGCACAAAATAAACCGTCAAAATATCTTTAAATTTGCCAAAACTAATACAAACTTTCAAAAAGACAATAAATATTAATAAACCAGGAAAATAAATACCTCTGGGTATGATTAGGCCCTCGTCCACGTGTTAACGTTTGAATTCCTGGAGGATTACTCCTGTTGCGTCCAATTCCCCTTGATCTACCATGGCCAGAATTTACCCCGCCCCTCCGTTCATCCATATTTGTGCTGCTCAGCCTATCTTCTGTTGAAGGCAATACTGTTCCATCTGCAAGTTTAAACCTCTATTAATAAACTTAAAAAAATTTCAATGTTATCTTCCTAATATATTCTGAACATCTGAAAGCAAGGAAAAAATTGAATGTAATTTAAAAGTGTACCAGGATGTTGTGGTGCTGGAGTATCAGGAGGTGAATTATCAGATGCCGTATCAGAAGCGCTGCTTTGCTCATTGTCTAATCGAAGATTCCTCATTGCATCGTTTATCGGGCCGTGTGGCTGGTGTAAATGTTGTGGCAGAGTAGTCGGTGGAGGCGGCGGAGGTCCCAGAGCGATTCCAGAATGTGGAGGATAATGGTGTTGAATCGGTAGACACTTCCTTGGACCGAAAGCATAACAGCTGTAGCACTGGGATGGCTGGCAGATAAGACCCGCACTAGGAATTGGGTACATTGCCATCCCTTCTATCGGGTACCGCCTTACCATATTCTAACAACAATATATTTGTATTAGTAATTCTAATTTAATAATAATTAAAATGTAGAGGAACTTGAACTGTTCGACTCATGAATTGAATTTAAAAAATATATATCTGAATCTCAAATACACCTGAACAATATAAGATTTTTATTAACTCTTAATTAAAAGTTTACGAATATATTTAAAATTGTGTTACATTCTAAGTTAATGGTAAAGGTGAGACTTTTTAATATTTAAAATATATACACTAATGTAAATCAAAAAAGTAATGAATGTGATTGAATTTAAGTGATAAGGATTATTTCTTTAGGGTTAATAAGCTTTAATTAAAGAAAAAGAACTAACATCTTGTTCAACAGCATCCATTTTCTTTTTGGAAGAAACATCTAGCATATGATGAGTTGGTGGAGGGCCTATACCATTAGTTAAAATGACTTGCTTTGTTAACAATATTGATCTCAACTGATTTATGGCACAAGGAGTCAGTCCAATTTCTTTGAGTTCTTCATCTGACATTAGGGACAGCTAAAACAGTACAAGTTTTAACGATAATGTAACTACTGTTATGTAAATTTCTTACAAAAGACTTTACCTGTTCGGTGCTGAAGTTTTGCAAATGGGTGGCAAATTTTGGCATTTCTTTACCTATGGTGTCCCTGAGGGCATCGCCCGGCGGTGGTACCCTGGGAGAAGCAAATTTCAACCTGATCTGATGCGGCTGCTGGTTATGTGGAGGAGATGGAGAGCCGGCACGACTGCTTGGAGATGAAGTCCTGCTAGCCATGGGCGAATCTCCTCCTGGCCCTGGGGCCGGCGGCTGTATGACTGTCCAACCTGAACAAAATTTAATTAGTAAAAACAAAGTTTCATAGTGTCAAATTTACTTACTGCTTGCATTCAGTATGAGAGGAGCTGGTGCACCTGGAGGAGGGACTTGTGCACCCGGTGGAAAACTTAACCTCACAGTTCCATTTCCACCATTTCCATCGTGGACATTTATAAGTCCTTGGTCTCCTGCAACTATTCACAAATTAGAATCGGAAAATGTAAAAAAAAAATCTATAAATTACCAGGGTGATGAGGATTTGGAGGCATATTCGGTAACTGGGGCCCAACCCCAATGATATGTCCATCTTCAAGTGATATACAAGCCGGGTAACCCTGAAGACAAATATTAAGTAAACACACAAGCACCTACTTTAACAATTAACTACTGATTTTAAACTATTAAATGTTATTTGATTGAAAATAAATAAATATTTAGAAATTAAGCAGTGACACCAAGAAGAATATAATATTTTATTATGGCATATTGTTATAATAAATAGTTGGTGAGAGAGAGAAAAAAGTTGTAAATTTAAAAAAACAATAAACATTTTGACTGTGTTTTATACAAGTTAGTTAAGGAAAACAAACAAAATAAAAGCTAAATAAAAACAAAAATACAGTGAAAAGCCAAAATATTTATTAATTTTAATAAATTTTTCCAACTTTAATAATTCTATCAACAACTGTTCATTTTAATAATGTATTTGCTCACCAAAGTATTTCCTTTAAGTGATTTTAATATCAACTTTTTCCAAGCCTCAACTCGAAGATACCTTTCTCTCTCTTGGTCATTTAAAATCTATAAGAAAACACTCAAATAGACTTATATACTCACAGTAAATTTTATTTCTTTTCGTTTATTCTATTGTTGTTGTTTTTTATTCATAAGAATATGCAATTTCGTGAATTATAATTTATTACTAATAGTGTCAATAGGTTTATTTTTACCTTTATTCCTCTTTTATTCAATCTTCGACATATTTGGTATTTAGACTTACAACAAACAAATGTATTGAGAATGATGTGGAATATTTGCATTAAAAAAGAGGAATTTTGGATTATGGAAAATAGAGACAAATTTATATGAGATACAAATCAAATCAGGAGATTTTTTCTCTTGTAAAAATTCTTAAAAATAAAATATAAATGTATATTTATCATTCCAACGAACTATTTTTAGTTGAATATCTGACAAATTTATTGGGGAAAAAAAACACAATTTAGCATTTATTATTTATACTTTTGTTCTTCTAAAAATGATAAAGGGATTTGAGATTAAAATAAATATAATTTAAAGATAATAATAAATAAAGAAATTATGACAGATAAAGAGTCTAGTAGGTATTGTTCTCAGTAAGAAGATCCATTAGATCCTATTCAACACCATACATACCTTTACTCTCCCCTTTATCCAAAATTGAACTTATAACAATTTAATACCCGAAGAAAGCAAAACTGGCTTTGCATTCCCCTTTTGGATTTTGGGACAGCGTCTTACGGCTGAGTAATTGATTGAAATATTGAACATCATGGAAACGAGGTAAATTATTCAATAAAATCAGCCTTGCATGTACAGCCTGGCGCATGAACAGTTTTCTGTCAAAATATAAATATCGACTTTGAATTTAGTTAGTTTTATTTGATAATACATTTTTTTTTTTTATTTAACTTCTTGTTAAATTTTTTCTTTTGCTTAAACTATACTCAGTCGACACCATTTCGTATTATGCTTTATAAATCGAGATTAATGATTTATAAATTTGTTCATGAAAATAAAATTAATAACACTGTATCAATTTAATATTGCTGTTAATAAAATTAAGGAGTATTGATAAATTTGGGTTATCTACACAAATATAAAAATAAAAAAGGAGAAAAACACATTGATCAATATGATCATCTCCCAGTGATGTTAGCAATGGGTGTGATCATTTGGTTTATTTTTAGACTATTTTTTTCTCTTAAAGACCAGAGGAAAAATACAATAATAGATTAAATGTTTGTAATCATTCACTTATGATGTGTGATACCGAACGGTCCAGAATTCTCTGCCGTCAAACAGCCGACAGGAAAGTGATAACAAAAATTAAAAAATAAAATGAAAAAGTTAAAAAGAAAGTAATGAAAATTAAAACTTACAAGAGTATAATATGATTATTATGAGTATACCAATTTTTTCTTTTCGTTAATTTTGTATGCAATGTGAAGTTTCACTAGTAAATTATGAAAATAAAATATGTCACGGTATATGTCATATTTCATTAAATTGTAATAAAAATACAATTAAGAAGTGAAATATACTATACATATTCAAAGTCACATGCGTAGTCACAAGTTTTTGCTTATAATAATTTATATGGCTCTTGATTGTGATAAGTAATCCAAATTTCCCAGAATAGATTAAGTAAGTCAAAACAACTTGTCCTTAAAACTTACTGATAAAATCAAGATAAAAACATACATACTTTATTTTGTTAAAATATTCAAAGTTAAATGCTAGTTCAATATTTTAAAGCGTGACTAGAGTTATTACATATTACACAAGTTTTGGCATTTTATATTGATTTACACTTGATTGTGTTAAAACAACCCAAATTTCCCGAGGTGAGCAAGTTATTTCCCATAGCCTAAAACAATCTGTCTAAACTTATGGATTAAATTGAGAGAAAAAAGTTGTTATTTTAGTTTTGCAACATATAAGTTAAGTAAAGTTATACCCTAATCCATATTTTAAACCATGGCTAGAACGAGTTTTACTTTTAATGCTAAATTTAATACATTCAAATGTGAAAATAAAACACATTCTTTCATTTCAAGCAATTTTGTTACCAAATGTCTATTGTATGTGCTCAAAGTGACATGGTGTATGTTTTTTTGTAATATATGTTATATGTTAATTATATATTACCTACTATTACATTATACGTTTGTTATATACATTACTAAATAATGTTTTTACTTATTATTTTTTAAAAACCACATGGAAATTTTGTCTGCCATTAATTAACAAATTTGTTATTTTATATTATACGAGTGTTAAAATAATCCAAATTTCCTCGAGTTTATGAAAATATTTACTAAAGCAATTTGCTTTTAAAACATATTGATTAAATCCTGGAAAAAGTGGTTATTTTACTGTTTCATTTTCCATATTTTTAAAAATTGCTAGTACGCTATTTAAATTTTATGTTAAATATTACGAATGTGAAACAACCATATTTTAAAATTTTATTGATTTATTTTGTTAAATTATTGTTACAAATCAAACTGGAAAAAAATACATTTATTTAATATGTGCTATTTTATATAATACAAGTTTTGGCATTTTATAAAAATTCACATAGCACTTGATTTTGTTAAAATAACCCAAATTTCCCAATAAATTATTACTCCTCTTCCTTTTTTGGTTGATTGTCTTTTCTTCAATGATAGATTCGGACAAATAATATCTATCAACGAACGAATTTCCCAAGTTGATAAAATTATTTTCTAAAATAATTTGCCTTTAAAACAAATTGATTTGAAAGAAAAAGTTATTATTGAACTTTTACATTATATAAATGCTAGGTGCAAGTCTATAATATTTTAATGTTTGTCTAGAACTCGTTTTTTTTTTTTTTTTTTTTTTTTTTTTTTTTTTTTTTTTTTTTTTTTTAATCCGTTCAAATGTGAAAATAGACATTTGACAACAATAGACTTCCATACCATTGAGTAGTTTTGTTTTACAACCAGACCGGAAAAAACACAGTAAATTTTCTAAATATATCACATCAAAGACACATATATTTTATAATACCCAAATTTTGCATTTTATAATAATTTATATTTTAAATGAATGCGTTGAAATAATACAAATTTCCCCAAGTTTATGAAGTTTTTTTTTTTTGTCAAAGACTAATTAAATCTATAGAAAAAAAGGGGTTATTTTAGTTTTTAATTACATAGTTATATGCTAGTCCAAGATATTTTAAAGCAAGACTAGAACAAGTTTTACTTGTTATGCTAAATTTTAAAATAAATGTGAAAATAAACCATATTCTCCCATTTTATTGAGTTATTTTTTGCATGATTTTTATATAAATGATTGGAATAAAAATACAGTTAATTCGTTAACTCCCTAACCATCCCTAACCAAACTTCACGAAGTTTATGAAGGTATTTTTTCTATTAAAGACTTATTGATTAAAGTGGTAGTTTTAGAGTTACTAATATATTCAAAGTTATATGCTAGACCAAGATTAGAACTAGAACAAGTTTTCCTAGCTATGTTAAATGTTAATCGTTCCAAAACTAATGTTTTAATGTTAAAAATAAACCACATTGTTCCTTCCATTTCATCGAGTAAATTGGTTAAACAATTGTTATAAAAGAAACTGGAATAAAAATGCAGTTAATCAGTTAAACATATGATATACATTCAAATTCACATGTGAGTGTATGTTATTGTATATACCATAATTTTTCCAAGTTTATCAAGTTAACTAAAACAATTTGTGATTAAAGTTATTAAATAATTAAATCAAGACAGTAAAACGTGGTAATTTTAGTTTTGTTGGTATATTCAAAGTCATATACTAGTCCATGAAATTTTAAAGCAAAGTCAGAACAAGTTTTACTTATTATGCTACATTTTAATATGTTCAAATGTGAAAATAATCCACATTCACCATTTAAATCGAGAGAAAAACATGGTTATTTTAGTTTTGTTGGCATATTTGAAGTCATATACTAGTCCATGATTTTTTAAAGCATGGCCAGAACAAGTTTACTTATTATGCTAAATTTTAATCTGTTCAAATGTGAAAATAATCCACATTCTCCCACTTGTTTGAAATATTTTTTACACGATTTTTATATACATCACACTGGAATAAAAATACAGTTAATTAGTCAAATATATATTATATGCATTCGAAGTCACATGTGAGTGTATGTTACTGCATATAAGTTTTTCAAGTTTCTCAAGTTAACTAAAACAATTTGTGATTAAAGTTATTAAATACTAATTAAATCAAGACAGTAAAACATGGTTATTTTAGTTTTGTTGGTATATTCAAAGTCATATACTAGTCCATGAAATTTTAAAGCAAAGTCAGAACAAGTTTTACTTATTATGCTACATTTTAATATGTTCAAATGTAAAAATAATCCACATTCACCCATTTGATTGAGATAATTTTTTACACAATTTTTACATACATCACATTAGAATAAAAATACAGTTAATTAGTATATTACATACATTCAAAGTCATGTGTATGTTACTGCATATAAGTTTTCTGAGATTATCAAGTTGACTAAGAAAAATTGTGAGTAAAACTTATTAAATATTGATTATCCATTATTAAATCAAGAGAGAAAAACGTGGATGTTTCAGTTTTGCTAATATATTCAAAATCATATGCTAGTCCATTATATTTTACGTCATCAGTAGAACAAGTTTTACTTATTATGTTAAATGGTAATCGTTCCAAATGTTAAAAATAAACTACACCGTTCCATTTCATCAAGCAATTTTGTTAAACAACTGGTATAAAACAAACTGGAATAAAAATATGGTTAATTAGTTAATATATTATATGCGTTTAAAGTCACATGTAAGTTGTGTTATCATAAGTTTTCCGAGTTTATCAACTTGATTAAAACAACTTGTGATTAAAACTTATTAAATATTGATTAAATAAAGAGTGAAATATGTGGTTATTTTAGTTTTGTATACATATTCAAAGTCATATACTAGTCCTTGATATTTTACAGCCATGCTAGAACAAGTTTTACTTGATATGCTAAATTTTAATACATTTAAATAAGAAAAAAACACATTCTGCCATTTGATTGAGTTATTTTTTATAAGATTTACATACATTACAATGGGATAAGCATCCGGTTCATTTATTAAATATTTTATATGTATTAATGTCTAAAGAACGTGGTTGTTTTAGTGTTGCTAATATATTCAAAGTTATATGCTTGACCAAGATATTTTAAATCATGACTTGAACAAGTTTTCCTAGTTATGTAATGTTAAATGTTCCAAATGTTAAAAATACACCACATTGTTCCTTCCATTTCATTGAGTAAAATGGATAAACAATTGTTATAAAACAAACTGGTTTAAAAATATGGTTAATTGGTTAATATATTATATGCGTTCAAAGTCACATGTGATGTCACTAGTCCATGATATTTTAAAGCATGGCTAGAACAAGTTTACTTGTTATGCTAAATTTTAATGCATTCAAATATGAAAAAAAAAACATTCTCCCATTTGATTGAGTTATTTTTTAGAAGATTTACATACATTACAATAGGATAAGCATCCTGTTAATTCATTAAATATTTTATATGTATTAAATGTCTATTTATAATACAAAGTTTTATGTTGTAAATAATTTGAATTTCAATTGATTGTGTTTAAATAATCCAGATTTTACGGAGTTTGTTGTTATTTTTTGCCTTAAAGACTTATTGATTAAATCCATAGAAAAAGAACGTGGTTGTTTTAGTGTTGCTAATATATTCAAAGTTATATGCTAGACAAGATATTTTAAATCATGACTAGAACAAGCTTTTCTAGTTATGTTAAATGTTAATCATTCCAAATGTTAAAAATAAACCACATTGTTCCTTCCATTTAATCGAGTAATTTGTTTAAATAATTGTTATAAAATAAACTGGTTTAAAAATATGGTTAATTGGTTAATATATTATATGCGTTCAAAGTGACATGTGAGTGTGTGTTATCATAAGTTTTCAGAGTTTATCAACTTGACTAAAACAACTTGTGATTAAAACTTATTAAATAAAGAGAGAAAAACGTGGTTATTTTAGTTTTGTTGGCATATTCAAAGCCATATACTAGTCCATATTTTAAAGCATGGCTACAACAAGTTTTACATGTTATGCTAAATTTAATGTATTCAAATGTGAACATAAACCCCATTCTCCCATTTGATCCGAGTTATTTTTTACACGATTTTTATATACATCACAATGGGATAAAAATACAATTAATTCGTTTAATATGTTATATGTATTCAAAGTCTATTTATAATACACAAGTTTTGCGTTTTAAAATAATTTATGTTATTGATTGAGTTAAAATTATCCAAATTTCCCCGAGTTTATTGTATTTTGTCTTAATGATTTTTTATTAAAACGGGGATATAATTGGTTATTTTAAATTAAATGTGTTTGTTCAAAGTTATATGCGACCCCATATTTTAAAGTATGGCTAGTACGCGTTTTAAAATTTATATTAACTTATATTTAGTTGCGCAAATAACCCAAATTAATCAATTTTGTAGGTCTTTTTTTTAAACAAATTTATATTTAAAAATTCATCGATTAGATGACACAAATCTTAAAATATAGTCGTGCTTGTTTCCTCCCCCACATGCAAAGGTTATTTTAAAAAACACGAGGAGTAAGTTTTGGACGGGTTCTTCTATTAATTTATCAGTTATTGATTGTGTTAATCGGCCGTTCGATCCGTTTTCACAATTTTTTTAGGCGGTTTAAAATTCATATGAGAGAGAAAAAGATTAGTTTTCGTTTATCAGTTACATCTGTTAATTATCAATTGGTATGTGGGGAAAATCGTATTTTAACAGATCTGATATGAAATATTGTTTAGTTTGGGTTTTTCTTCATTCGTGGTCATTTTTTTGGTTATTTTCATTTTTTTTTAATGGTGTCGACTTTTTTAATTTGACAAGTACTCACAGTCAGGTTCTGGGGTTTTTCCTGTTCCTGAGGCGATGGATTGAAAGATTTCGACCTGTTGTGGAGCCTCTTCGCCTCTTCTTCGTGCAGTTGTCTGAATATCTTTTCCAAATTGAGCTTCTGGTTGAAGGAGAAGGCCGGGTGATTTATGGCGAGTATGTAAACGAGTAGTAGGTCGTCTAGGGCGTTTTCGTCTCCGGCGCTCGCCTTGAGCAGGGCGGCTACGTCTTCGTTCTTCGTGAGGATCTTGTAGATGTTGTTGCTGCAGGAATAGTTGCAGGAATACAAGACGGACACATAGACGGCGAGCTTCGTCCTGAGCTGTTGGTTGGAGAGACACTGTGTCTCAGGGGAGCTGAGCTCTTGGTTGCTGTTCGCCTCGCTTTCCGCCTGCCGCAACTCGTGGAAATCCCTCTTCCCGAGGTGCTCGAGGCATGTGCCCAAAAACCTGAGCTCGACTGGCAGGCAGAGATTGAGCAGGCTGCACATTAGATCAGTCCGCTTGTAGCTTTTCAATCCTTTAAACCATGTCAGGACATCTTTTTTACAAACCATCGCCGGCAATCATTGATGTTTGGTTGGAGTGGAAGGCCCAGTTTCTTATTTCCTTTCTTATCAATTAGGAAAGGCGAGCCGTGGGCACTCCTCTCGTCGAGTCCTCTCTCCTCTTCCGATAATCACAATCTTCCCTCTCGTTACCGCCACGGGTAAATTTAAGGTATATCCTTTCAACTGCACAAACCCGATTATCCAATTCCAAACCGGCCACGGACACGGGAAATGTTAGATATCAATTATTTTTACTTCAAAGTAAATTTCTTAACCAACTATAGTGTCCTACAGTGAAGAATGCCTTCATGATCAACCCGACGTTGGCCGTCTCGTCACCGGCCCACCTTTCAGCCGCCCTCCGATCTTCATTTACTTCAAATCCGAAACGTTTGAGAAGGAAAAGTGATAAAAAAAATTCTTCCGACATTTTAACAACTCCACCCTTCAAATTAAATCAATTAACAACTTTTGGAAAACCGATCGGTTACAACTTTTTAAACGATAACTATTGTATAATTGGAAAAACTGGATACGGCTATCGATATCAAAACGGGCTCAACTGCCATCTCTCGCTCCGCCACCAAACCAACTCTCATTTCAAATTTACTCCACTTCTTACTCATCAGTAGTATTAAATTTTCAGCAATCCCTGGATCACTTTTTCTTGCTTTGCATCTCTTCAGCCAAAACCATAACTTTACAAAACAGATAGGCATAGACAGAATCTTCATATCGAGAGTTGTATAAAATTTCATTTATTTATTTATTTTAAAGATACAAATAGGGCTTTAAAACCACTTACAATATAATATTAGAAATGAATATAGCTTTATAAGCATAGTAAAATAATAGCAGCAATAATAATAATAATAAAACGTATAATGAAATATACCAAAAATAAAGATTATTTAGAGATCGTGAGATGGAGTCTGGAAAAATGTAGGTTACAAAAACCTTAACGTTACAAAACGAATAGGCATGGACAGAATCTTCCTACCAAGAGTTGCACGAAATTTCATTTATTTATTTTAAAGGTACAAATAGGGCTTTAAGCTTATAAAATACATATATTAGAAATAAATTTAGCTTTATAAGCATAATTATTCAGAAATCATGAGATGCGGTCTGGTGTGATGTAGGTTTCAGAAAAACATTTTCTTTATCGTGCCAACGTTTCGATCTTTATTGAGATCATCTTCAGGGCCTGGGATTTACTTAATCTTGATTTTGTAACGTTTCGACGTTCTTGTGCCAATTTCAA